TCTCTCTCTCTCTCATAGATAGCTTAAGATGGCATCTTTTCTGATACCACAAATGCTTGATGGATGATAAATCTAGAGATGAGCAAATCAAGGAAGTGTGGCAATGTGATAGAGACATTTCTGGGAAGTCCTATCTGTTGCAGGTATTATCTTGCTAAAAAATGGCTGGTTTGCAGCCTTACCACAAAAGGCAAACCGAGGGTGCAGGATTTCTTAAATCTATTGATGTGCTATCAATGTCCTTTGCACCACTACCAGGGACTGACTGACTGTTCAAATTGATTGTAATATGAGATGGTTCTCCAGACCAGCACACCAACATTGGGACAGTATGCCACTTAACTGTAAAAGTGGGACTAAAACACTCAACAATGATTTTCCATTCTCTTACATGGTGATGGTTTGATCTCAAACATAACCAAGATTTGTCACTAAAGGCAATATGCTGCCATTTCTTAGCAGTTTATGCTTCTCTGTCAGAATAGAATATCAACGCAAATGAAATGGACAATGCTGGGTGCTAATGGCAAGATGCATAGTGGTTGCTGTGCATGCATGCAGATTTGCTTCTCCTAGTTGTATGCCAATAGTACAGCAAAAGAGAGGGTTCTTTAGCAAGGCTTCCTCTTGTCTGTGAATGGTAGACAAAGATGCCATTGTAGCTGTAAATGCTTGTCTCACAATCAGACAATCATCTCACCTTGATCTGTCTGAGGTACAGAGCTTGCGCACTATGTATTGTGCTATTGCATATTCATTACCCAACACTTGCTTACACTCAGGTCAGAATGGCCTAGATGGTGGACAGCCATTCAACAAAACAGCCATTCTTTCTTTAATCTTATGATGTAGTCTTTCTCAAGTTCAACCACCTGTGTATAACGTCATTTGATTGTATTGTAGAGGCCTGACATTTGAAGACCTGCAAACAGGGACACTGAAAGCTCTGAATATAGTAAGTCTCTGTAACACTTTTTATAGGATACTGAAATAGCAATTAATAAGGTGCTTTGATGGCATCAATTGGATCCATCTATAATCATTTACATACTTGTCTGAGACATAGCTGTATGCCAAGTTTTGGAATAATCAGATAATTTTATCTGAGTGGGTAACTTTTTGTCAAGAGTGTATATGAGCATTAGATGAATTTTGTCTCTTTATATTGATGTAAGAGACAAGTCAGGAGTTGAATGCATTTTCTACTCTCCTGAAATGTGCCTTTTTTAAATAAAGCCATATGATATTAACATTTTAATCTCATAAGCAGTCTATTAGACAGTATACTTAAATTGTTTAAAAGATACATGAAAAATGAGTAATAAAAAGAATTTTAATTAATATATTATATAGAACTATGAAATGAAGAGGAAAGGACAGGCTATTCAAAACATGAAAGATGATTTCTGAAATTACAACACACTACATTGGGAAATACTTAATGAAGAAAATAAAACCTAACAAGTATCTTAAGACAAATGTTATTTGTTTTTATTATAAATTCAAGGAACTTCATGTTGGACATAATAAAATCACTGAAATACCTTCTGATTTATTGGAAACTTTATTAAATGTCAGAACTTTGGACTTAAGAAATAATAAAATATCAAAAATTCCAGATGAAATTACTTGGCTTCAGTCATTGGAAAGATTTGATCTTACTAATAACAATCTTTCTGGGTATGAATTATTTAATTATTATATTTAAATACTATTAAGATCTGTTGTTGTGATTTAAAAATGTAAAACCAATTATTATTTTTAGATTGCCTTATACATTGGGTACTTTACCACATTTAAAATCCTTAAGTATTGAAGGAAATTCAATGAGATCTATTCGACGAGACATTATTCAAGTTTGTATTTTCTTTAAAAAACTGAAATTCATATTAAATATTTTTACTATCCATGAAGCTTTATCAATAACAAATGAACTTGAATCTTTAAAATGTTATGTATTATGTTTTTATTTTGTGTAGAGAGGTACTGTTCAGTTATTAAAATGGTTAAGAAGTCGAATTGAAGATCCAAGAGTATTGTCTGCTGCAAGGAACAGACATTCCAGTGGAGAAATTGATAATGGAGAATGTGATATTCTACAACATTGTGATAAATATACCTTGAAATCATCTCATTCATTAATATATTCGTAAGTTTAATGTTTTGAAAATTTTATTAATAATAAGATTAACGCAACAAGAATTTTAAAAAGTATTTGATTGAAATTCTTAAATTATAGATTCAAATAAAAGACAAAATATTATTAAGTTTATAATGCAATAATACTTTTTAATTAATTTATTCATACTAAAATAAATGCTATAATATAATATTATATAAATTAATTTTAATCTAATGAAGAAACAATTTCCTTTGAAACAATGTTACAACTTAAGGAATGATCAGTACCTTGTACAGTAGGACCTCCTCTTGTCTGGATACATGTGTTGATATGGTTGGCATAGAGACATACAGGCATCGTATGCTATACTGCAAGAGATTTGCCCTCAGATGTTGCAACTGCCATTCCAAATCTCTCTCTCTCTCTCATAGATAGCTTAAGATGGCATCTTTTCTGATACCACAAATGCTTGATGGATGATAAATCTAGAGATGAGCAAATCAAGGAAGTGTGGCAATGTGATAGAGACATTTCTGGGAAGTCCTATCTGTTGCAGGTATTATCTTGCTAAAAAATGGCTGGTTTGCAGCCTTACCACAAAAGGCAAACCGAGGGTGCAGGATTTCTTAAATCTATTGATGTGCTATCAATGTCCTTTGCACCACTACCAGGGACTGACTGACTGTTCAAATTGATTGTAATATGAGATGGTTCTCCAGACCAGCACACCAACATTGGGACAGTATGCCACTTAACTGTAAAAGTGGGACTAAAACACTCAACAATGATTTTCCATTCTCTTACATGGTGATGGTTTGATCTCAAACATAACCAAGATTTGTCACTAAAGGCAATATGCTGCCATTTCTTAGCAGTTTATGCTTCTCTGTCAGAATAGAATATCAACGCAAATGAAATGGANTAAAGAAACAATATTTTAATATAAAATTTATTTTAAATTTCAGTGTTAAAATTAAAGTCATTCTGTTTTTTATTTTTAACCAAATAGTTTTGAACTTTTAACTGAGAAGTTAATTGAATTAAATTTGGGGTTCAATAAATTGACAAATTTACCAGCTTTTCTTGGATCATGTCCTCATTTAACATATTTAGATTTGAGGTAACTTTAGTATCTAATGATTTAGTAATTATTGATATAATAAATTAAAACATTAAAAAGAATTTGACAATTTTTCAAAATTTTTTGTAAGGAATAATCAAATAGAAAGTGTGCCTGAAGAATTTGTCTCCTTGGAAATGTTGCGAGAAATTAATCTATCATACAATCGGCAAGTATTGTTTTATATTTTGATAGATGATTTTAAATTATTAATAAACTTTGATGTAAATGAAGTTATCATTTATGAATTATGTATTTTGTTATAAAAATTAATAACTTAAAAAATTGGAAAAATTTTTGTTTTTATTTATAGATTTAAAGAAATACCTCAAGTATTTTTTCGATTAAAAAAATTAGAAATACTTTTTGTTTCTGATAATCAGATTCAGAAATTGGATGTTAATGGTTTATCTCAGCTGCCAGTGTTAACTGTTTTAGATCTTCGAAATAATGATATATCTTATGTACCACCTGAATTAGGGAATCTGAGACAATTAAGGTATTTCTTTTGTTAATATTAAATATGAGTATAATATAGATAATATAGATCTTAAATAGGGAGTCTTTAATCAAAATTAAGGAATATTTCAGAAATAAACATGTTTACACCTCTCTACATTATCAACAGTTTTAAC